AGAGTCTGAAGGAAGGGTGGAGAAGCTCATAGCCCATGTTGCTTGAAGTCCAGTGTTAAGTTTCCACAGTCTGTGATGATTTGGGGTGCAATGTCATCTGCTGGTGTTGGTCCATTGTGTTTTTTGAAAACCATGTCACTGCACCCGTTTATCAAGACATTTTGGAGCGCTTTATGCTTCCTTCTGCTGACCCATGACATTCTAATTTATTGAGATGCACCTGTATGTATATATATATTAAAAAAAATGTTGCATATTTTGTATAAACATTCGTTCATGTTTAAGGTTGCCCCAGAGACACGCGCTGTAATCAGCTGGATGCAGGACATCCCGTTTGTACTGAGTGCTAATCTGCATGGGGGAGAGCTGGTGGTCACCTACCCTTTCGACTGTACACGTGATTGGATCCCTCGCCAGGACACGCCCACCGCAGACAACGATTTCTTCCGTTGGTTGGCCACCGTCTATGCATCCGCCAATCTGGTGATGGCAAACCCTGAGCGGAGGATCTGTCACTCTGAAGACTTCCAGCAGCACAACAACATCATCAATGGAGCGGACTGGCACACTGTACCAGGGAGTGAGTAAACATCAAACACGCATGTATTTAGTGTGTAACTTCATCTATTTATACAACTTCATTAAACTGCAACTGGGTACTTCCTAAAAGAGATGGCACAGGCATATTCAAATGTAAAAGTCCACAATGAAAGTCTTGTAGAACATTTTCACAAGTATGTAGAGTGTAGATATTTATATATTAGTTGCTCCATATTGAAGACTAAGAGTGCCATCTAAAAAAAAAAAATTGTGAATGTATTAAAAATTGTAAAAAATATAGTTAACATGATATTAAATAATAAATTGATAAATCATTTTTATTGCACAAATACTTTTATTTTTCCTGTTGCCAAATGCTAATTTCTTCATTTATTTGCCAAATTGTGTGTGTGTGTGTGTGTTTTATTTGTTTTGGTACACTTTTAAACATGAATTAATATCAATTTGAAAAGTGATTAATCTATTTGCATTTTATTTTTTAATTAATACACCGATAATCCCTTTTACATTTTATTTTTATTTGGCAATCATGCGTCTTATATGAAAGGCTTTATGTACTTGATTAATTTTAATGTCTTATATTCTTTACTTTTTACTTTACTTTTAGTGATTTAGCAGACACTTTTATCCAAAGCGACTTACAAATAAGAAAAAGTAATTAAAACTAAAAGCTAAAACTCTATAAATACTATATATATACACATTTAAGAAAATAAAAGAAATTAAATAAAAATGACAAATGCATACAACAACATTTCAAAACTAAACATTTAAATGAAAACAAAAAAATTAAGCTAAAAACAATTCAAAATATTAAAAGAACAAAAGGTATAAGAGTATAATAATGATTCTAACATGACACTAAGCCAAACACCAAAAAACAACTACATATGTGTATGTACAGCCACACACACATACATATACATGTACAAATATATATAAATACATTCAATATATATATATATATTATTTCATTTCCATTTTGTATGTTGAAGTACTGAAATAACTCAAATTAAATAAAACTAAAACTTAATAAAAA